TGCACTGCAAAAACCTCGCCGATCTTTTGAATAAAGTACTCAAACATTGAGATATAGATGACAACCTTGTTAAACTTGGCATTGATGGTGGGGAAGGTTTTCTAAAATTCTCCCTCAGTGTTGTGAGCAAAAGCCAAGGCAAAAATGCAAGCTCTATACCACAGAAAAAACTCCTCACGCAACAACTAGCCAAGGACAGCAGTTCCAAGAGGCAGCTTCTGGTTGCAATTGCAGAAGGTATGTCTGAAATCTATAAAAATGTGAGGGCCATTTGGTCTCTCATTCGTGCTGAAATTCCATCATATCACATTTCATGTGATATAAAGCTAGCTAACATTTTGGTTGGTCTCCAGTCGCATGCAAGTACCCACCCATGTACATGGTGTGATGTAAAATCCACCAATCTGAATTGCTTAGGGAGACTGAGAACTATCGGCTCATTGAAGAAGAATTTCGAAAATTTGAAAAAATTGGGAACAGTCACCACAAAAGCGAAACTGTTTGGCAATGTCGGTCTTCAGCGGAAAAAATGACATCCTTATCATCAACATTATTCCACTAATGGAGTTGCACCTTTAGTTGGTAGTGGCAAACCTGGTCTTCAATAAAATTAAAGATGTGTGGCCAGATGTTGAAAAATGGCCTTCTTCTCTACATATCCAAATTGAGCCTTATCACGGCGGACAGTTTGTCTTTCCAAGTTTTTTGTCTGCTTTCCAAGTAAACCATAATCGCTGTGCTGTGAAGATTCAATGCTGTTGTCCAAGCATGCTTTGGCATGAATCTGGATGTCCAATACAAAGAAAAACTCAAGAGTTTCTAAGAGGCATTCCTGGCATTTGCTCAAACAAGCACTGTGTATTTTTTCACATCCAAAATTTTATTGAGCGGCACAAAGCACCTTTGGGTGCATTCAGTGAACAGAGTGTGGAGTCACTTCATCATGATTTATCTCTTCGCTGGAATCAATTCAAGAGACCATCAAATCATCCAGAGTATGCTAGTTGACTCAAAACCTGGATTATGGATTACAATAGCAAACGTTTATGAGCTCAGAGTCAGATGTTTTTCTTTGGTCAAAATTTTAAATCCAGCGCAGCATACAGTATTTTTTATGGAATTTAAATATATTTGTGCTAATTAGAAATAAGAACTTGACATAAGGATAAGTTTTTCATTTTGTTGTTGTTTTTGCCCATAAATTATGAATAAAGAGATAACAAGAAATGATGTGGATAATTAAATAATTCTATGTTTGGGTTGAATTATTTCTAAAACATAAAAAGTATTCTTTTGAGGTCTATCTGTGTCAAACAAAGTTAAAATAATACATAGATTTTTTAAAATTGATAATATAATTATTGTATGCTGTACAAATGCACAATTTTGTGAATTCTGTCATCTCATGAGCATACGCAAAAGGGGTAAAAAATTCAAAGTGATTTTTTTCGCTCGGATGTTGTAACTAAATTTCAATATTTATATATTTTGAATCTGTAGATCATGTAGATTCACCCAGGACAGGTGGCATTCTCGGGTCAAGCCGAAGTAATTATTTCCTATTTTGGAAAACTGTGGATAAATAAATCCTTAGATATTAAGAGGTATTATTATTTCACAATAATGGTATTGTTCTATGAACTTTACTTAACAATGTGATGTGTTTAGCCAACTATGTTCATGTTTTTAAGGAATCTTTGTTCACTTCTCTTTCTTGTATAAATTTAGCAATTACCATATTTATTAAATAAATTATATTGATAAAAATCAATTTCTTTTCACGGCAAATTGTATTATGAAAATGTTATAGTTTATAGTGAGTGCGTCGTGATTTTGTTGTGATTTCAGTTTGCTTTGATACTTTAAATAATACAAAACTGTTTCTTTTTCAATTTCTTTTACTGTTTCTTTTTATTCTTTCAAGTATAACAACCATTGACAGCTCTCTCTCTCTCCTCTCTCTCCCTCTCTCTCTCTCTCTATGTCTGTCTCTTTCTCTCTCTCTCTCTCTCTCTCTCTCTCTCTCTCTCTCTCTGTCTGTCTCTTTCTCTCTCTCTCTCTCTCTCTCTCTCTCTCTCTATATATATATATATATATATATATATATATATATATATATATATATATATATATATATATATATATATATATATATATATATATATATATATATATATATATATATATATATATATGTATATATATATATATATTCACTATGTTGGTTGACTTGGCTTTCTTTTATAAATTAGAAAGTTAGCACATTTGTTTAATTGATTATTTTGTAAAAAATTAATTTGTCATAAAAAAGTTCTTTATTTTTTTGTTGCTGTTATACTTAATTTTAACTATTATAATAGTTTTAAATAATGTTGATATTATTTTTAATAACAAAATTTAATTTTTAGATAATATTATGAAATTTCATAAATTTTTTGTAATATAATAGTATGAAATATAAATAAATAAAAAATTACAATATTTGTATATTATAATAGCGCGTTATGATTTTCAACTTGCTTTAATAATTCAAATAGTAATGCCACTTGTTTTTAAGAAACAATATTATTTGTTTATGCTTTTAAATTTATTTTTTATTTCTATATATTTAATTTAACAAACGTTTTCTGTAAAAATTTTGGGTATTTTTTCTTTTAAATATAACAATTATTTCCTGTTCTACTTAATATTTATCTTTTAACCCCTGGTGACAAAAATTTGGCAAAATCTTGGAAAAGATAAAACTTATTGAGTTTTTAAATATCCAGTTTTACTTTTTTAGTAGTTTTGTTTATAAAGTGTTGGTTACCTTTTACTGAAAGTTTTGTTTACTTAGATTAGTTAATAAAAAAGTTATCCAAAAATGAAGCCGACTACATTATTTGAACAAGTGTACAACAACTGTAATTTGTATCCTAACGCTAAAACGAAAAGCATCGTAGAGTGTTTTGTTGCCTCTAATGAACCTAAAAGAACCATCAAACGTTATATGGAAAAGTGGAAGAACAATGAGCCAATGTTTTGTAAGCCCGGATGAATGGATTACAAAAAAAAAAATTATTTAAAAAGCTAATAAATCTATGTAATGCTATCACCGGTATAAACTTAAGCTCATTGTATTCAATAAATTTTTTTCAAAATTATTTTTCTTTTTGCTGTTACGCATTTCTTATCATTGTAACATTGAATTTGAGACCAACTAAGGACGTCTTATGGACGAGAAATAAGACGTCTCATGGACGTCCTAAGGACGTCAAAATGCCAACTGGGTGGCCATAATAACGTTGAAACAACGTTAAATAAGTTTGTCGTTTAAATTGTTTTTGTTTTTTTATAACATTTGAAATAGAAAGATAAATAAGTTTAGATTTTCCAACGTTATAACGTTAGACTTTTCAACGTTTATCAACGTTGTGGTTTCAAAAGGCATCCCAAGAAGGCCTAACGGGTTTGCCACAGACACCGCAAAAGAGCATTTAAGTAAGAAGTTAACGCCTCCTTCCGAGCCAATTTTACATAATATGCCCACCGCTCGCTTGAAACCCTGGATCTCTTGCTTTTAAAGCAAGCGCTCTAGCCACTGTGAAAAATAAATGTCATTTGTAAGTGCATTGCATCGTTCACAAACACACCCGACAAAGCATTTATAGGTTCAACAGAAGGCGTGTGGAAAATTAAAAAGACGAACCACATGCAATTGTTCAAAACGAAAAACTTAAAAACACAACCACGCTTTCAAAATACCTATGGGATACATAAGAAAAGTTAAAAACAACACCGAGTTTAACATAAAAGCGCCCTAACAGTCCATCATAAAAGCGCCCCGCCTACAACAACATAACTAAAACGTGCCAATTATGAAAAAATGCTTATACGAGAAGCTAACAAATTTATTGTAAAACAATGCATTGGCATATGTGCGAATAGGCATAAGTGTTGTAATTGTGAATGTTAGCATAAAACTTATGCCAGTGTTTGCAACCGCTTTGCACTCACGTCAGTTTGCACTTATGAAATTTGAACTTATTCAGCCTCCCGATACAATCCTATGCGCATCCTGTAACTTTTTTATTTATTTACCGTATTTTGTACTTTTCCATGTAATATTGAACTATAAAGATAGCTGCGATTAAATGAAAAATAATCTTGTAGTAAAGCTCTAGTATTTAAAAATGGCTTTGTTTGCGGATATTTTAATTTTTAATGGTTTTTGTGGCTGGATAGCTCAGTTGGTGAGAGCGTCAAACGAAACCCGGACTATTGAACGATACTAGTTCATATCCTGCCACCGCTAAAATACATTCGGTACGCTAAAATGTTGGTCAATAACGGACGTTACTTTGGATTAGTTTTAATGAATATTTGTGGCTGTTCCTTTGCTAAGCGAACAACATTTTTGGATATAAGAACATTGTAAAGAAAAATGGGTTGGTTGTGGAACTTCTTGAATCTTAAATTAATTCTAAACTGTTAACGTTAAATTTTCTTTTTAAAACTGTTTAATTTTAAAAAGTTTATATTATAATAAAAGATTAGACAGTTTAGATTGAATATTATCAAATTTATTAGGTTTATAGAATAACTTTCTAGTGTTCTAAAAATGTTTTTATTGTTTGGAAATGTTGATTTGTATTTATATTCTGGATATAAATAAATCTAAACTATAGATTTTATTTTAAAAATTTTGCATATTCGTTTTTTAAATTCAATACTAATAATGTTCAAATATTTTCACTTTTTGTTCTTTTTATGTATACAAAAGCCAAAAAACTAAACTGGTGTTTTCTATCTATAGCGGGTTTTTTTCAGTCTTTTTTTATATTTTTGTTCATTGAGTTAAACACCGAAACTTTGCTCATAGATATTAGAAAATTTAGTAATTATTTCATAAAACCGGTTTTATGAAATAATAACTAATATAGAGATTGTTGTTAAAATATAGATTGTTGTTATTAAAAATAACAACTATCTATATTTTACTTTTCAATTAGTATACTCACCCTGAATTCCATTTGTAATTTTAAAATCTTTTATGAAACCATCAAGTGGATCATGCCACACATCTGCAACAAATACCTTAACGTTTTGGAAGGCTTTTGGGTTTTGATTTGTAGTTCTGTAAACATTAATTCCATTTATAAACACTGCAAAGGTGTATACTCCATTATTTTGAAACTGCGATACACGTACACTTGACCATTTATTTAGCGTTAATGGTTTGGTAATGAACTGAGCTACATAATCTGTAGATCCATTAATTGCAGATACAATATACAAACCTTCTGTTTGAGAATCTTTAAGAAGTATTGCAGGAGTTCTCCATCCGTAGACTCCATAATTTCCGCCAGTAGTGAAATGAGCAACACATTTCCACCCAGGCGAATACGATATTGGTTTAAGTTTAAATGAAACCGAATATGTACTTTCCAATAATGGCAAAACTGTAACCAAGTTATCTTTAATTAACAAACTTTCACTACGATCATTTAGTAAATCTAAGATTAACAAACGCATATATATATATATATATATATATATATATATATATATATATATATATATATATATATATATATATATATATATATATATATATATATATGTATATATATATATAAATATATATATATATATATATATATATATATATATATATATATATATATATATATATATATATATATATATATATATATATGTATATATATATACTATATATATTATATATATATATATATATATATATATATATATATATATATATATATATATATATATATATATATATATATATATATATATATATATATACATATATGTATATTAGGGCTGTACCGAATTTCGGCTTAGGCTACTGCTCCGGCCATTTTTACAAATTCGGCCCAAATCCGGCTCGCGCAAAATGTTACCAAATCCGGCATAATTTTGGCCGGATTTCTGAAATGAATATTTATTTAGATATTTATTACATCTTTCTTGCCCGTGATAACATGTATACTTAATACTTAATTTTTGAACTTCATGTTTGTTTTGGTATCTGTATTTACATTTCTTTACAATTTAATTAGCTGTTCCTAATTTCAAACAACAACGCATCAAAAAATTCTGAAGAGAAGACACACGATATTCTGCAATAATGCAAGTTTAATGACTATGAAGTCAGTCCTTATCAAGTCATTAGAAGAGCGTTTTAAAGGCATTGAGGAGAAACCTTTTTAGATTGAAAAAACAAAGTTAAAAAAAAAAAACTAAACAAAAATACTAAATTAAAAAAAAAAAAAAAACTAAACAAAATCCAACAAAGCAATCCCGGCTGGGTAATTCATATTCATTATCATCATTACAATGGCAATATATATAGATGAAATTATTCAGTCTACGCCCGCTTGTGGCACAACACATGAACAACAATTACCAACAGGCATTGACACTCAGCTAAGCCAATATCTGGAAGAATCAGAAATATATAGAAACACTGATTCACTACAGCGGTGGAATGACAACATCCCGGGAAAAAAAGTTCCATAGAATTTCTCTAAATTTTTGAAACATATGGCCTATAGAAACTCTATAGAATTTATATAAAAGGTCTATTAATTTCTATAGAAATGGAAACTTTATGGAATTTATATAAAATGTCTATTAATTTTTATAGAAATTGCTATAAAACTTTTAAACAACAAAAATGATGTTTTATAGAAAACATTTTTCACTTGCTGATTTAAATAGTCAACATTGTTGACCATTATTAGCACCAAGTAGGGATGAACAGGATTTTGGTGTCTGTAGTTTTACTTCAAAATCAGGCTTCGGCTCCAATTCCGGCCGGATTTGGAGAAATTAAATCCGGTACAGCCCTAATATATATATATATATATACATATATATATATATATATATATATATATATATACATATATATATATATATATATATATATATATATATATATATATATATATATATATATATATACATATATATATATATATATATATATATATATACATTTTTTTTGAGTGAAAATTTGCGATATCTAATAAAACAAGATAATTATATAGTTTCCGAGTTAGCTGGTTTAACTAACTTTCGAGAAATAACACTATAATGTAAAGTAGGTTTCAGCTTTGCTTTTGAGAGCGTAATTTCGGACCATGATAGGCAAAATATCTTGTGCCTTTCATAATATTAGCGTTAATTGATCGTTAGCGTAACTTCAGGCCAAGTTAGACTAAAAATCTTTGCACCTAACCTAGCCTGTATATTCGGTTGACGTGAGTACAAAAAGTTATAAATTTCATCTAAATTGTGCCTTATTGATTGTTCGGTAGAACAACTTTAGGCTTAGTTCATAGCTTGAAGATTAATTTCACTGTTAAGCCAGGTTTTTATGGATATTTTGTACTATTTATTGTCAATAAATAGTATTGATTATAAAGCTTGAAAACTTTTGACAAAAGTCATTAAACATATATATTATAGCGGTTCTTAAAAAACTTTTTTTTGAAAATGTCCGCTCCAAAGTTGTTAATTTACTTCAATGGAGTACACATAGCTATATTACAAATTTCATCAAAATCGGTCCATATCTTGACCCTCCTCCACTGATTTAAAAGACTTTGCGCAACAGGATAATGGCCCAAAAAAATTCAATATTTTTCACTTTATTGCAAATTGAACAATATTAAGCAGGAATTTCAATATTTTTAAAGAACAATAAAAAATGCAGAATTAAAAGTTATACTACATAGTCTATAGTAAAGTAAAAAAATATTTTTTGTTAAGGGAAAATATGACTATTTTGGGATAAAATCCTTCTTTGATTCCTGCTTTAGATATTTTGAGCGATTCACCATTGATGTTTTTATTGTTACATCCCGTCGCTTTGCACCTACAACCTTCTGACTGGCCTTTGTAACCTTCTTCACAGCTCGTTTAACCATTTGGGTGTGACATTTAAATTTTGGTACAATGAGAGGTTCTGCTACCAGGGCTAACAATTCGCTATTTAAAATTTTTCTAATTAAAGGAGGTTCTAGTATGTCAGTTTCACTCCACTTAATCATTAGCTGTCACTTTGATGCTTTAAAATTCAGTTCAGGCACCCAGAAAAGACGTACAGAAGAAGCTTGATCTTGGTGATTAGCTTTGGCTTCAATGATCGTTTGAACAGCATCTATGCGGTCTGGCTTATGGAATGAGGCTAGTTTAGCTAGCAAAATATTTTCTGGATGGGCATAAAAAGCGTTCCGTTGAATGCAGCGCTGTACGTTCTTCTTAGCAGCTAAATCTTCTATTAATTCAGATCTTTGCATTAGGAAAAACAGATTTTGAGGACCATTAATCTCAAGCTCATAATACTTCACAGTAAACCACATAGGAGCATAAACATTCACAATACATCCATCAAAAGTTTAAAACTGTTGATGGTTTTGTTGTACTCGAATACAGCCTACAGATACGACATGCAGTCGTAAACCACCTACTGTAGCTACATAGTCCAATCTTCAGACGCTCTAAATCCTTATCTAATTGCCCGGAAATGAGCGCTGATGTAATTCTCCAAATGTATTTCTGGTCTATCGACAAATCCTTCCAAACTTTGTTGGGCATTTTAGATAGAGGTTGAGAACAACCAAAGCGTTTGTATTTGATGACAGGATAATTCAAGACATCTGGTAGTAACTTGCCAATAGATCCAGCGAAGGTGTTTGCACCTGTAGTTGGACCATCTAACTCAATGATGTGCCTTAATGGCAACTTTTTTGCGTGCAGAAGGAAAACATTCTATTGTAAAGCACACCCAACGCTTACTTCAAACAAATGGTTTATTTCCCCTTTTGCTCCAACATTTGTGTTAGTGCCATCACGTGCCAAGACTTCATTTTGATCAATTATGTTTTTTTCATGTAGAAACTGGACGAGAGATTTAGAAACAGTTATAGCTTTACCATCGGTTGGTGATACATGACCCAGAAACTTTCCATCAGGGAGTGTAACATGTTCCTCAGTTTTCCTTGATTGATAGTGTTTTTCACCTACTCTCTCTTGCGTTAAAGTCACATCTTTTCAACCATCGTAACCAATTCCACAACACACTACTAATGGTACTGCATCGTCTTCTTCTAATATTACATTAACAGCTCTGCAAACTTTTGATTTGTCAACTATTTCGGGATTAATGCATATAAGAAAAGTGGCATTAACAATCGAAGCAGTTGCTCTATCAGAGATCAAATTACGCACCTTTGCTTCTGCTATCTGTCGAAGATCTCTTCCTCGATTCTTCGAAGCAACTTCTACAACACTAGCAGTACTTGAGGCTGAGGTCAATGTACTTGGTTTATTCTGGAAGTCCGAATCTGTATAAATATACGGACTTATAGTACTGTTATCATCCTGGGAGTTTTCGTCCTTATCCCTGCCAATTTTCACACTCACGGAAGCAACAGTTTCAAACTGCAATTCTCGTCGTTGTCGTTCTTTTACACCCCTGGTATCGCCGGTTTTTATACTTGATTCTTTCTGCTGTTGTTTTCTTGTAGCCTCTTTATCCACTGTACTACTTATGATCATCTTTCGAGAAGATCGCTGCTCTTCTTTCCATCCTGGGAACATTCTCATTATCAACAACTTCAAACAAACCAAAAATTTCTTTGCGAAACTCAACTTTCTTATTTTTAAAGTAGTCTGAGAGATCATTGGGATTTGGACACTTTGGGATCTTATACCTTCTGGCAGTTGGTATTTGGATTATAATTTGATGCTTTTCACAAACTTTGAGAACACGGTCCTTAATCGTGTCTTTTCTAACTGTTGGTAAGGATGCACGTTTATAAACGCTTTCAACTTGTGACACAATAATCTCTGCAATAATAGAATTATCAGGTTCTTTTTTTCCAGAGGTTTTTATCATCCATTTTTGTTTTTCATACAAGAAGCTTCTAGCAATATCTAATTCTGTTGGAAGTACGGTTTCAGGCAGTTCTACCGGCTGACCAAGGCAAGCTGATCAGTTGCCATTTAGGTAGATATTTTTGTTAAACCTGTCATTATAATTTGTGAAAAAGAAAAAATATTGATATTAAAATGCATATTATGAGAAAAACGCGGATCAAATAAAGATGTTAGTCATGAAATTATATCCTGCATCTTATATTGTTATTTAAAAACATTGAAGTTCCTGCTTAAAATTGCTCAATTTGTAATAAAGTGAAAAGTATTGTAGTTTTTTGGGCCATTTTCTTGTTGCGCAAAGTCAAAAATTTCAAATCAATGGAGGAGGGTCAAGGTATGGACCGATTTTGATGAAATTTGGAATATAGCTATGTGTACTCCATTGAAGTAAATTGATAACTTTGGAGCGGACATTTTCAAAAAAAAGTTTTTTATGAACCGCTTTAATATATATATATATATATATATATATATATATATATATATATATATATATATATATATATATATATATATATATATATATATATATATATAT